TTTTATAAAACTATTTTGAAAATACTGCAAATATTTGCAACCTGACAAGGCCAAAAAAGAAGGGACAATTTGAGGAAAAGATTAAGCAGCTAGAGGATTTAGGAAGCAAGATTTCAGCAACTGCTCACACAGACAGCCTAAGAGTATACATGCAAACTGTCTACAGAGATTTAGAGGTGGTACGTTAATACCAAGGAATTGTTTAGGATGAGCCAGAGAGGTGTAGCTACGAGTCGGGGAATGAAACTGATCAAAGGAAAAAATTTAGGCTTACTATCAAGAAATGTTTCTTAACTGTGAAGTCTATTAGTCTGTGAAATAATCTCCCAAGGGAATAATGGTAGTAATAATACCTAGCGCTCATGCAGTGCTGTACATTTTCAAAGCCCTGTGCAAAAATTAGCCAATATAATTAAAGAGGGTAATAGAAACACCATAAGCTGTGTCATTTTAAATGCTACACTGGTCAATGCACTAGAGAATATTCCTGGAAAAAGCAACCCTCCGCAGACTCGGACTGACAGTTAAGATTTCCTTTCTTTCTTCCTATTAATATCTCCAAATATCTAAACTTTACCTAAGACCAAAACTAACTTCACTGAAAAAACATCCATACAATAGAATATCCAACTGTTGCTTTTTTTTTTTTTAATTAGACTAAAAATAAATGTATTTCTTGGGGTTATATTTAAAAATCTTATTTTTTTCTTGACATTTTAATTCAGCACATTCCCTAATGTTACACAAACTCCCAAATTTAATGGGGTGTCAGCTGATCTCTAGGGAAAAATGTATTAGCGGGGATCATCCTCCAAGTTAATCTGCATTGATTTGCTTTTCAAAAAACATCACATCAGGTATTTGGAAGGACTCTCACTTTTTATTCTTTTCCCAGTCATTACGTAAATGCACACTTATAGCATGGATAGTAGAAAGCTGATAACATCTTACGTCTATAAGGGGAAACACAGGAGGTTAAGAAGTGCCATAATTATAATTTCCTGGGTAACCTTGATTCAAGTCCTTTGTTGCAAATGAATTTTGATATAGCCTTTTTGCCTCAGGACTCTTGCCTCTTGAGCGCGCAGAGTAAAACTGTTTAGGGGAAGGGAGGGCTGTGCAGTAAACAGATTTGTAGGTGGACCCCCTGCTTCATTTGTTACAGAAGCTGGAAGTTGTAGAGTTAATGAGGCAGAACACTTCAAGAAAGGAAAAAGATGACCTCAAGATTAATACAGCTGAATGATCAATTTCAGGCCCCAACAAAGCCGGTTCTCCAGAGTAGTCAAGTTACCTATATCAGATTTTTCATATTGTGTATTTCTTCTTTTTGCAGTGCATAAACTAGGATGTTCCTGTCTGAGGCCCCTGTATTTCCTTGTCTAGAAATACAAATGAAGTCACTAGGAACTGAGCTTTGAACATACATAATACTCTTTAGAAATTATCCAGTCCTAACTGAGTACCCAAGTTAGGCATGTATGTATCTGATGTGTCTGCCTGCCTCCACTCATCACTCTTCGGTAGAGGGGCAATTCCCTATCCATTCTCATGTGTTGATAAAGGGTATTTATTGCTGGGGAAGCCCTCAGGAATTAAAGGCTTTGATAAGCAAGCGAGAAAATAAGACAGACTATTCAGAATTATTGAAGTGATGTGACTAGTATCTTGGAAGAAAATTTTGGAAGTGGCAGGGATAGAATCCCCGTTTTCCTCAGGTCCGTTCAAGTATATTAATTATGAAGCTACCCTGAAATACCACTGCAAGAATAGCCTTGCTAATGCTTCTAACCTGCTAGGTAAGGAGTGAATCTACCTAGATTTCAACAGAAAATTTTCCGGCAATCACTAGTAAGCATATGCAAGCAACAACTCCCCCTTTACTTCTCTCTGACATTAACAGTACCCTGAGACAAATTTCAAAGCTCCCAGTCCAAGACTGGGCACAAAAGAACTTTCCAAACAAAAGAACTATTTCAACAGGGCAAAATAAAATGTGAGATTTAACTGCACTTTAAGATGTTATTTTAATTTTTTTTTAATATTAATTTATGCAAGCATGGCTACAGTCATAACTTAAAATATTTGCAAATACATTGCATTAAGTAAGGAGGATTAAGCAGGCAAAGAAGCTACCTCAAAATGAAGGCCAGAATAGATGAAGTGTCTGAAGCCAGGCCTTTTTATTTAAACAACTGAATACATGGATTGAAATCAAGACGTTCTAACTGTAAAAGAATGCCCATTATTTATACTTGTTTAAAAAAAAAAAAAAAAAGAGAGAGAGAGAGAGAGAGAGAGAGAGAGAAAAAGTCTTAGGAAGCCTTCTGGACTACATTCATTAAGGATGTAAAATGTCAAGTCTCTATTGCTGTTCTTGGCTGCATCTTTGTGTTTGAAGTTCATAGATATAACATCAGGTACTAAATACACCTGTGACTGGTAACCATAAAAAAAAAAAAACCTGTTATAGAAAATAAGGTCTTATTCAACATATGTGATGTACTGTGACTTCTAGAAGCGTGGCCAGATAAGAAAGAGCTTCTACTTTGTTGACATTTTTCTTTTTCCATTATCTCAAACATTCTGCAGTAGAAATTGCATACCTGCAATTACAATTACAACTAATTGATCTGCCATTTCCCATGTCATAATTAATGTCATGTTTTAATAGAGTTATAATCATTCCATAATAATGCTTTTCATTCACCAGCTTCCCACAAAGTATAAAAGTATAGTGCACAAAAGCAATGAACTTTACGAGGCTGTTTCAAAAACATCCCAAAAGGAACATCTTGGTGCATCACAATGAACTTTTTAAATATGTTTCTATATTCTTATCTGAGCTATAATAAAATACCACGCAAAAAAGACTTTTCACTCTGGCACTCCTCTTTCCCTGCACATCCATAGGTGAAAAATGAAATAAATGATTCAGTGACAAATACATTATGTTTCCTAAGGGGTTATTTAATGTACTCTTAGCAAGGATGGAAAATGATGGTTTCTAGAGAACAGATGGTAACAAGACAAAATATCAACAGACCACAGTTGTTGACTGCAATTTATGGAGCGTACAGATGTGTCAACTTAAATGCAGTGATTCTGAGGCCAATAAAAGTACTTCCTGATACCAACAGATTAATTTTTCATGACCACTGGTTACACAGCTATTACATTTTTAAAAACTAATTATTCATCTACACAAGAAACAACAACTTTGCTTGAACGTCATTACTATAAAGTGGAATGTTGTTCTTGCTGGCAACAACAACAACAACCACAACAAAAAGGAACTACGGAATAGGCTACAAGTTTGCACATCTTCCTTTCAGAAGAAAATTTGCTTTTTTGCAGTAAAGAATATTGCAAAGACAGATGAATGCTAGCAGTCAATCCAGATTTAAAGTAATAGTATGCAATAAGGAGATCCCACTTCCTAGTCAAATATGAGGCATGCTTACAAAAGGGCCCTTTTTCACCCTTTAATTTAGCAGGATGAATAACGGTGCTTGTGAAGGTTATAAGGGACTGGCAGTGCCTGAAACTACAGTCCCCTATTTATTATCCATAGCGGCATTAACTATGCAATCTCTCCGATGCTGCTCTGTAAGACTGAAGATACATGACTGCCAAAACCACATATCTCAGAACCTTCATCAGTGAAAAGGTTTAGTTCTAGATCTGATCATTGTAATCTGAACCCATCTTCATCTTGTCTTATACTTCAACTTGGAGAAATATTTCCTCTTTAGTCCCTTCCCTGTTTTTATCTACCTCAAATTCTTCTAAGGACTGGTCCTTTGCTTGTCAAGAATAAGAAAGGAGAAGGTAGCTCTATATTACAAATTCCCCTGTTCCAGCATACAAGTCAATTCTAAAAGCATATTACAATAAACATATCATAAAATGCCCCACTTAACAGACAGGGTTAAGTTAGCCTATAGAGCAGACAACAAAAAACAAATTCTTCACTATCAAAGATGTAAGATTTGTCATAGGTTAAACTGTTTACCCCATCCACCATATCCATCCCACCCTATGTTGCTCTAACCTCAGCTTCTCTCCACACCTGTCCTTCCAGCTTCCCTCTCCTCCTTAGCTCCTTAGTCCTCATCACTTAACTCTCTTTTTTTGCTTACCTATTACTCTCCTTAAAATATTTTTCCCAAAAATAATATGAACACTATATTTAAATTACGGCAAAGTAACCTGACACTTACAATGTTATTCCCTCAACTTCTGTTCTTATTTTTTCTGTCACTTATCTTTTCTATTTTGACCAGAAGCTGTTCAGAGCAGGTTCTGCCACCACCTCTTTTGTTTTGCACAGTCCCTACTGCAATGAGGCTCCATTTTGGTTCCCCTATAAGCACTATCATAATAAACATTATTAATAGCAACAGATTATTCTCTACGTCAGCAACCTGGCATCACAGATTATGTACATCCACAAAACACATCAGTGTGCACAAACTGAGAAGCTGACACCAATTTGGCTGATTCTTCTCCCTCATTGGTTTTATAGCCATATAAACCCCACTTCAGTGGAGTTACTCCTGATTTAAAAATAGTGTAAGCAAGAGAAGAATGAGTCCTCTATTTCTGGCAGACAAATGAAAGAGCTCATAAAACAGAGCACACAGATTTAGAGGTCAAAGACACTATAGTACAAAACATCCCCCTCCGCCCCTTGAGCAAAGCTCAACTTTCCACCTTTGGGGTTTCTTCTCTGGCTTCTTTAAACCATGCACCACCTAGATGGAGAGTTCTGGAAAATAGTAACCTTTACAGAGCAAGCAGACAAGGCAATAGTGGCACAAGATACTCTGCACTATGTACCAGTCTTACTACTTTGCAGATATATTGGACATAAGTGAATTCAGGGGACTTAGAATTCAAAAGAGGAAGTTTCAATTTATATAATCAAAACATCAACAGCACAAGCTTGGACTCATTTATTACTTTACCATGCAGAACTAAAGGAGAGTCTCACCTACCTGAATCATATGCAAAATCTCTAGGTTCCTGTTTAATCATCAGAGGAGGGGGGAAATTTTGGCTGGCTGCACTGCCAACCATAGCGTTGTGTTCATAAACTGGATCGTGGTACTCCTGCTTAAAACCTTGAGGTGGGAAAGGGATGTTTGGCTCAGACATCTGGCGCTGATATATTGGACGTCCTTCCCTTGGCATTGTAGGCAAAGGTGGGAAAGAATTGCAAGGTTCAGAGAGCTGGCGGCGAAATCTAGGACACAAGTTAGAGAGGTCATTTAAAGATGCAGTTACTGGATTTAAGGTACATTCTATTTCCTGAGATCTTCACAGGTCATGATTAGCAGGAGGGAATGGCTTTATCACTTCATCAGTAGCCAATATTTTATTTATGATAATAAAATCCTCCCGTCAGGATTATGACCACTGCAGTGCTGCAGTAACAGAAAACAGCAACAAGCGAAGAAACAAAAAGAACCCCCAATAAATACCAGCTCTAAAACCCTTCCTCCCCACCATCCTCTTGACCTTCAGCAGCTTCTCTGCAACAGCAGAGGCAAGCAGGAAATGCATATGGTCTTCCAACACTTCAAACCAACTAGAAAGACAGACTTTACCCACCACAGTAACATGAAGAAGCCTTAGCTAGAGTTCTCTGTTCTTTCAGAAGTATTAATGACATATTGTTGGCATTCTAATTTAGTCTTACTTTATTCTTACTGCTACACAGTAACAATTCTGACCACCCTAACATACACACACATTTTGAACAAACAGTACTATCTATGGTAACATCTGGAATCATTCTAGAATAAGAGTCTCCGGGTCTCTTCTCCTGGAGATGACACCATGGGAGGTCTACCTGAGAAGCTTGCATTGCATTCCAGCTTCAATGGGAAGGAGATTTAATCACTCCAGAAAAGGGACAGGGTGCACATTTTGCTAAGAGACACAATGCATAAGAACTTCCATCCTGCCTTAATTTATTCCCTAGATCATTTCTGCGTGGAAGAAAAAGCCCGTATGAGTCACATAGCCACTCACTGCTCCAAAATGCTTTTCAAATGGCAGAGAAGTGTGAGAATTCAGCTTTAAATTAACTCAATATCAGCGCAGCAGAGCTCAAGGACCTACATGTGCTGCCCCATCCGTAAAACACACATATAGTCTGAACTAAAAGGTCTGAATGGAATCATCTACAGGTTCAGTAGCACGGGCAATACAAAAGTCCTGTTTTCCTAGCCTGCTCTGATGAACTGCACACGTTATAACAATGTCCTCTTGTCCTCTCTTGTGGAATATCACACTGGGGGGACCTATTACTTCAGCACTAATCCACAGCAGATGAAATGTTCTTAAAAACGAATTGCTTACTACCCCTATTATCATGTATCATGACCAAATAAGTTCTTCTCTCCTTAAAAATAATCGAAAAGAAAAAAACAAAACAAAACAGAAGCCTGTGCCTTCCTCTGGCAGTTTCTCACTGTCGTACTAAAAGTCAAGAACGAATCATTCTTCGGTTTCCCGCACTTTGCGGCTCAGCTGACTTTAGTCGATACAAGCAAAAGCAGACATTCTCTTGAAGAGAACTGGGTGAGTGATGAAGAAAGCAGGGTTTTGACTGTACAGGCAATGTAACTCTTGAATATCATCTCGTATGTAGTACATGTTTCTGAAACAATTTTAACTCCACTAACTTCAATCAAAATACTGCTCTGAATTTAGTTTGACAAATATTTACTGTCATCACTTAATTACAAATATTGTGGGAGCTATAGGGATAGAAGTTATGAGAATGTAGTAGTGAAGACTGAAAATTAATTGTTTTACTGAAAATTAATTTTTAATGCTGCTGTAAGTATTCTGTTTTGCTGTGGAAAGAGTGCTGCCTTGTAACATTAGGTTTTGCAATTCCACCTACACCTGCAGAAAATAAACTTAGAAACTCAAATGTATTATGAAACAGTTAGGCTGACTGGCACTGCATTCATTTCCCTCTTTTCCTTTTTTCATTAGCCAAAAAAAGAAGCAGAAATTATCATTAAGAACTGTCAAGGAGTGAATCAGAAAATTGCAACTTGAAGTTAAAATAAGAAACAGGCTCACTCACAAAGCCTCAAAGGAAGTTAATAATACTTGTTGTACTGGAAGCTTTGTATGGAATCAAGCCATTTGTTTATACAAGTGGTTTTGATTCCTGTTGGTACTTGTTAGGAACACTTATCGTTCATATATTCATGCCTTGTATGAAGCTGTATGTGCTGTATGTTCTAGATGGTGATGCTATCTTATGCCACCAATGCACGTTCCAAAGAAATATGCTTTGAGTTACACAGTTATATATAAACTCACACAGGTAGGTCATTATTTGTTTAAATAACATTTTTTAAACACGCTCATTGTGAAATAATGTCTTCTCCAGCTAAACTAGGCCCTGAGCGGCATACCATCTTGTATATTAGGAGGATTTGAATTTCACAAAAATATGAAGTACACGTTTGCTTCAAACAATTGGAAGTCAGGAGAGTCAAAGTAAATAAATAAATGGAGAAAAATATCTCCCTTCTTTAGAAAAGGAAAGAGATGAGACTTTCGGCCTATTCTGAGTCAGCTATTTTTGAACTTCGCTAAAAGGTCGTACAACATGATGTTCTATCACAGAAGGGAACCATCAGAGTAAAATGCCCTAAAGAATATGCATATCCAAGTCACAGAAAGCGTGCCATGTCAAGAACCCATAAAGCTTGGGTAGAGCAAGCATTATAGGTATAGAAAAATAAACGGGTCAAGGGGCATACAAGCCTCTATAAATACTCAAATCAGGGCTGACATACAGCTTCAGTATTCTCTTTGCAGGTTGCTCTAAAAGAAATGTTTTTTTAATCTGAAAAATCCTATTATTGTTCTCTGCACAGAAGCCATTTACCTTTTGGAGATTTCAGTCTCCTGACTACTTGACTTCACTGTATATACAGAAACACATTTGTCCACCATCCTGTAATCAAAACCACACCCTGGCTTCACTGGTGGCCTGCATGGTTAGACCACAGTCCAAGGACGAGGAAAAGACTGTAACTATGGCAGCTGAAGGGGCCAATCCAGTGTTTCTGCACTGCCAGAAAGGCTTGTAAAGAACCTTGGGTGATATTTAAAACTATCTCAGCAGAGCACAAAACAGCAATATAAACCTTAGTAACCTCCTTCAGAAGTGATCTGCACAAATCCCTGGAGGTAATACCCCTTATTAGAGCAGAGGCATGCAAATCGCACTCCAGCAACTATGATTTTCTTTTAAGGTTCCTTTTGTTTTGCTAATGTTTCAGCACTAAGTCAAGTCTCTGAACATATATAGGTTTATATATAGCTGAACTGCAAAATGCTCAGAGCAACCACGCAGTGCAGCAAACAAAAACAGGCTCACGTAATAAAAGTTAGGATGATTAAAATTCTACACACAAGTGTTTGGTCTCAAAAATAAGAGAAATCCCACTCTGAGCACATGCATTGCAAAACTGAGCTAAGAAAGATGGTCAGTTGTCTGGGGCTCGCTAACATATCAAAACAAAACAGGGTGACTTAAGGACAGTTTAAGCTTCAATTCTAGTTTCTAGCTCTTGTGGGTTTTACTCAGACTAATGTTATTTAAGCATAGTTTATGTTGGCATCTTAATTTGTTTGAAATGCTTTAATTCAAAAGGGCTTGGAAAAACGATCCACCCTTCCAAAGAATATTCTGAAGCAGTAACACCATAACGTAACCACTTATCTCTTTGATAGGAAAATTTCTTAGCAAGAGGCCAGCCACTTACAGCCAGAACCATGCCTGCTGGTGACTTCATTACGTCACAGGGCTTACTAGCCTCAAGTGGATTACCCTCACAAGGGAGCAGAAGTAGGTCATTAAAACTCTGTCGTTGCCAATATGAACTCCTACTAGAGTCCACACACCTATTTCTGGCATTCTGAACCACTCTGTCTTTCACCTTAGACCTCTAAGTTCAAAGGGAATAGTTGAGGGCATGAACCAAGGGCTGCCCTACATCATAGTCAGCTTGCAGCCACAACAGACACCTTCTGTTTGGGTCCCTTGCATATTTTGTGTTTTACCTGTGGTCCATAGGGAAGCTGTTGTCTTGAATGGACTGGGATGGAGGGAGATGGGTAGGGAAAACCCGGTCAGGTTTAGGAGTCTGAGCTGAGTTTGGGGAGGCATGGTGCAGTGGTGACACAGGAGTGCTGGATGGCGTTGGTGGGTTGGAGGGCCTCATTCCCACTTGTGGCTTCTGATCATAGGCACTATCACAAACAGAAAAAAGGTCAAATTATTTTCTCTGCAGAAAGCATAGCATCTACATCCAGAGAAAAGAAGTATCACATTTATAAGCCTTTTATTATAGATACTTTATTAACCAATTTGGGCAGAGGAATTCTCTGCTTTACAGAGAACAGCACAGGAAAAAATCAAGTTAGAGGTCAAGTGGCTCAACACAGTATTTTCCTCTCCAGGGCCTAGAAATGTATTTTTTAAAGGATTCAGTCTTAAAGTAACATTCTAAAGAAGATATACAAAATACATAAAAGTAGAAACACCTGGACTAAAGTACAAAAGCAGTCTTGACGGTGCCTGTCAAATCTCTTTTTTAGAGCTTGCACAAGCCATAAAGTGAGACAGTAAAACAATGCAGCTAGAGGGAAAGGATCTGACCCAGAAAAACAATCCTGTTAGTTTAGCTGCCCAGACTATAATGTCGCAGCCTCTCCTAACAGGTTTTTTTTTTCTCTCAAAAATAAAGTTCTGGTCCTGCAAATACATAGACGCTATTTTCAAAGGTGCTCCAAATGAGGAAAGGACTTCAGTGTACTTTGATCATCCCTGTGTCTAAACAGGACAAACACAGACCTTAGGGCAGACAGTAAACAGGAACTTGCCTATTTTTTTTTTCAATCACATCTCCTAGCATCCATCAAATCCATTGCTGGTTGCACTTGATCTTTTGAAATCAAAATCACTCCTCTTTGACTAGGGAAACTGAGGGTCTTTTTTCATCCTTTCCCCCACCCAAGTTAAATGTAAATGCTGTAAGGATTACCAGGTTTGGTAGTACATTAATGAGAATAAAACCCCCTGCCTAGATAAGAGATTCCAAAATAGACTAAAATGTCCATAAGAAACCCTTCACTGTGGACACTAAAGAAAGAATGAGTGACACGTAAGTGTGAACTACAAGAACGTCAATAAAGAATGTAGTGGTAACAAGGTCCCCTGCCCCCCACCCCAGAAAAGAATTAAAGCTTTTATTATCTACCCTCATAATCAGAAGACAACTTGCTTTTGAAAATATAACAAAGATGCAAAGGCCTAATAAAATACTATTTTAAATTGTAATCATCCATGAACGCACACATATATCATCTGTAAGACCTGTCAAATACCTAATGTGTTGCTCAGATCTGCCAGTCTCTTGCCTGCTACACAGAGCTCTCTCTTAATGTGTATTGCATTTTAAAAGTACCTTCACACAACTCACAGAAAGCAAAACACTCCTTCCTTCTATTTCACACTTGCACCCTCGGTTTTTAAACTCTGCCTATCTCCCATGGAGGAGGAATGGAGAATATGCATTTTGATGAAAAACATTGCTTTAAAACGATTATGTAAGTGTTCGATACAACTGTAAACAACTCCATCAGTGTTCATCAGTTAAATGCATTATCTCATCAGTGTGTTATCTGCTGAAGAGGTAACTTTTATAAGATCCCTATTACAGTTTTATCACTCTTTAGTCAGTCCTCATTTAAATCAGCAGTTCTCACTGAAACCATGGCAATCAGACTCCTAGTTGGCTTTACCTGACATTGTACAGGCACTTTTCCCCATAACTGAACTTGAATGGTTGTTCTTGACTGCAAGCGGAGCCAAGTTCCGAACACGGGCTATGGGGTTCCTTCTTGATTTTCACAGGGAGACCATGAAAAGCCACTGGAAAGAGAAAGAGAATACAATTAAAAACCAAGTACAATGTTAACAATGAGCTTTCTCAAGTAAGCTAGACACTGCTAATTAAATACACGATTAATTAAACCATTGTAATACTAGAAACAATATAGGAAATAAACATTTCAAGTATTTCTTTGGGTGTCAGCGGAAAAAATAGACACCAGAGATCCTTTGCATTGGCTATTAGCACTTTTATTGTTTAATAGAATGATGGCCAGGATCCCATCTCATTAGCAGGAAAATAACAGCCCACTTATATTTGGCTTTACTACTGTAAATGTTGTCAGAGGCAAAATACTTCCCAGGCACCAAATGTTTCTAAGTAGTATTAGTGAGGTAGCTTTTAGCTGTAAATGCAATGGCAGTTCACTTCAAAGAGTGCCATACAAATGACTCCAAAATTAATTTCTCATATATCAGCCTCAAGTATTTGACTGGTAATCTTTTTGTCGCATAAAATACATGAAAATTTGCAGTCAAACTTATGAAACTGGAGAATTACATGCTCCTTTAGTTATAAGAAATGTCTCAAAAAATATACAAGAAATGCCTTCAATAATTTTTCTCATATCTACACATGATAAAATTGTGGCCTCATTGAAGTCAACAATAAGTGTGATGCAGACACAAATGGAGAAAGGATTTTCAGCCATACTTTCTTTAATGGCAAAAAGAACAGAGTGTGACAGAAACACAGCATTAATTAGAAGCACAAGTTGGTCTGGATTCGGAAGAAGGCCAAAGGTAAAGGTAAGGTTAACCAGCATATTAGTTAAAGCCAGACAACTTTTCCCAATGTCACAGTCAGCCTTAACCAAAACTAAAGCAGAAGAAAATTCAAAGCAGTCTTAATTCCTTCACCTGATCTAGACAAATCTAGAATGAGTGATAAAAAGGACAAAGGACTAACACATAGGTATTTAACTTAATAGTCTGAAGACACATCCTTCAAGTTTTAAATAAAATGAGGCTATAAATCTATTTTAGGGTGCTGAGAAGCCTACAGTTTGGGGATTAACTCTTATGACTGAGATTTGGTGTTGTTACCAAAACACCACAGTCAGGCTGCAGCCTGACGCTGACACTTGTGCCTCTACAGAAATCCACATATGCGTAGCAGTCCCTGTTAGAGGACCTCAGTGCAAAATTAGGCCATTATTATACACCAGTAAGTAGTATCTTGTCCCTTCCCTTGCTCATGAGCTTAGGAGAGAATTTACTACACTCTGTAAATGTTCTGATGCTAACATAACGTGCACGCGTGATGCATGGCGTGGGGAGGGGAAAGTAAATAAAACATTCTTAAAAAATGAGCAGTAGAACCAATAAACTCCGATCTATTTGAGACCTATCCTGATTCTGGACTCCCACTACAGGTTTTCCCATAGTTGGACCCCGCATAGAGAACTCTTTCACATATGGGTCCTCTGGTAGCCTACTATATGACGGCTTATACTAAAGCTCTTGAGACATCTGCAATTTATCTCTACATTATTTTGCCACCTATTTTCACAAAACACAAACGACTTGTCTGTAAGACTGTTATCCAGTCATTATATTTGGTGGGTAATAGTCGATTACCTGAAAAGATTATGATGGGGGGGAAAAGCAGATAGTAAGACAGGCACCCGTCCTCACGCGCAGTAACTTAAGCTCAGATGAAAAGTGGTGAACATCAAAACAAGAGAAGAACTCTTTCTGAATAAAACTGTTTGAACTTGCACTAAAATAAAAGACTATACGGACCTCTTGAGCAAGAGTTGTCAAATTTAATACAAGCAGAAAGGGGGGGGTCCTGTGTGTGGTGGGGGGGGGGGGGGGGGGGGGGAGGGAGGAGCTGCTAGTGAACTTTAAGTGCTGACTCTCTTCCTGTGCCTTGGTCAGATAATGCATGTTTAACTTGTACGATAGGCCCTGCATCTCCAGAGCTGTGGCTCCGACGCAAAGGCAAGCAATCTCTTTGACTCGAATCAGAGAATTAAACCACAACAGTAACAAGGCTCTTTTTTAAAGCCAATATCACATATTTGCACAAAGGCCACACACTGCTCTATTTTTTTTTATTTTTATTTTTTTTAAAACTTTGCTACTTCCTCAGAGTTAATCTGTTATGAAAAATTACTTCCCTTATTTATTTTTAAATAACGGGAGTACAGAGACTCCCACACCACAGCCCTGCGCGGAGAACTGGCTGGGTATTTCATCACAGCGCTGAGAGCCTGAACGTCTGCTAACAGGCAGTTTTCCAGCTCACTGGCACAGGCACAAGTGAAAGCAGCACATTCATTTTGTGCAATTTGCTTTACCTTCCCACATGGAGTTGGTGCATGTAAAAGGCTGTTAAGTACTAAATTATTCCTTATCAAATCACCATCATCTGGAGTCATGATCAACACTAATTAAATTACTTTCACTGAGCACGGCTCCAGCCTGCTGCCTCGGCTGCGAGGTACATTTTATTTTGCTTACTGTACAGTCCTAGCTAGGTACAGGGCACAGTGCTAGAAGGCATCTGTGCTGTAGTTTTAATTAAAGTTTACCTCACTTTCCTCCCAGCTTTATAAGCTAGGGTAAAGTGTATCAAATCAAGTAGGTTAACGCCTTCATTTCATTTAGGGAAACCATTACAGTCCAAAGTGATTTTATATTAGATCTTTATCTTAACTATGGCCAGAACAGATAATGTAGCTGTAAAATTTAAAGCCTTCCTCAGGCAGTCCCTTGACACAGTCACCACGCAAAGCTTTATCTGTAACTTCTTAAATGTACACTTTTAGAGGAAGAAAGGAAAAAAGACGGGGGGAGGGGGGGTGGCAGTGTCCTTGAAGGCTATTTGACCTTTCAAATCACATCTTACATGTGGCAGAAAATGACAGTTATTTCAAGAGTAAAATTTCAAAACCATTCAAAACAGTTCCTCGTATCATCACTGCCATCTCCACCCATCACTGTTCATTTTAGTGTGACATTCATTTTAGTACACCTATTAAAACAGGCTTTAAAATACAGTTTTACTAAGCTGAATTTTATATTATGCTTTTAATCAGTTCTTTTTTTTTTTTTTAAAGAGAGTAAGGTTGCTTATTTATATAATCTAATTTTAGTGCAGCATCCCAAGTTACTAGCACATCCAATTTAAAAAAAAAAAAAAGAGAAGATAACATTTAAAACAACCAACTCCTCATCACTTCTTTTTTCCTGCTGGCAAATTCATTTTACTTAACCCCAGAATAAAGTCTCAACCCTATTAAAGTAACAGGCACTTTGCCTTAATAATGATCTTATTAAGAAGTGACCAAGGGCCAAGATTTCATCCCAAGTGATTACTTACAGATAACTACCTCCAAACTTGAAAGGCAAACAATCTTACAACCTGCACTGAGATGGATGTCTTCGATACCTCATCTCAACGACTGGGGAAAGTACGGCTTATCGGCATCAGAACCTGCTCATTTTCAGACCCTGCCTGCAGCTCCTTTGAAGCCAACATGCAGCCATAAGGCAAGCCAAAGGCTTGTTCCCATCTGAGGCAAACTGATTAAGTTACAATATATTGCTGTATGCATACTGTCTGCGTATAGATCTGTGTATCCGTATCTGCAGAAAGAGAGGGCCTGCATGTTACACACAGTGTGATCTCGTGTACACCTATGCTAGCATTCTGTATTGTTGAAGTGTTTTTAAGGACACAGATTCTACAAAACAGTAATTTTGACAGGTAGTAAACTCATACAGAACATGCATAAATATAGGCAGAAGCTGACTACACCTAGCTTTGAAATGCTACTCTCCTTTGGTTGTTACCTGTCAGCAGTCTAATTCCTAAACATTTTACTCATGATAACTCTTAGCTTAAGACCCAAATGAATAACAATTGTTTTAAAAAAAATCTTAAATTAAAGAAAGAACTGATTTGTCTTAGAAGAGACTAATTTGTATAGTATGTTTACCATCTCTGCACAGATAGAAATGAACCTCTTCTTTTGAGAAAGCCTCAGAAAGACACTACATAAAATATAAAAGCAACAGTTTCACATACTTTTCAATTCAAGACATGATCACTCAAGATGAAGAAATGAGAGCTTTCACATGATATTGCAAGTCATTTCTACTTCAAGCAAAAAGTTATTTTAAAATTTTCAAACTTCAGATTCCTGTTCAGTACACAAAGTAAAATTTGTTCTTATTTTCTGAAGAAGTGATTTAAATATATTTTTAAAAGCCATGAAATATTACTAGTAATTCAGTAATGTGGGCTAATGGCTGCCTCCACCACCCAAAAGAAAGCAGGATGTCTTGTTATTGACACTTGTAGGGAATGAGCATTTACTCTGTGGTATAAAATGAACTGACAGTAGCAACCTTGCTTGTGTTACTGAACTCAAATGACTTTAAGTAATATTGTATTTGTGTATACTAAGTTCGAGGACTTTGTGCAACTGCAGAGAGAAGGAAGTAACAGGGAAGCCAGGGTAAGCCTTGCCCTCTACATTTCTGCTGAATGTTTCTGACTTGCTTTTCACATTCATACCCACAAATCACCCTCTAAACCTGATTTTGTAAATAAACTCTTTCATTTTTACAACCAATTACAACAAAACTGTTAATATGTGATATAAGTTTATAGAGATTTCTTGAACACCTTTGAATAGAGAGGACTTGATTTTTGATAGAAGAAGAAAAGATAGAAGATGAAAAACAAATCTAAGTTAACACAGCTTATATCTCCAGATGCTAGTGATTGAGATGACCTGAGTTAGCATTCAGGAAAATTTCAAAAGCAAAAAGAGAAGCCCCCTTTACTGATAAAGCCAATATTCTCACACTTTAAATTTATCTTGCAATACAGACAGAAATGCAGCAGGCACTTCAGATACATCAGTGTCTCTCAAAGATTCTTTTCCAGTACATTTACCTCCGCCAAGCCCTCCCCTTCCCCCAACGCACAAAAATCCATTACTAAAGGGTCTAATCTCAGCTAT